AATGTATGGAAAGTTGATTAATTTGCTTTATGTTTGTAAATTTTTTTTAAAAAAAAATTGAAAAGCAATGGTTCCCAAACGTTGTCTTCTGGATATTTTGTATCTCAAGTTCCAGATCTCTCAACCAGCTTAGCCAAGAGTCAGAAATTCTAGGAGCTGAAGTCTTAAACTTCTGGGAAACCAGAGTTTGGAAACCACTGTTGTAAAGCCTCATTGAATTAATGGTAACTTGGGGGGGGGGTTGCAGACTGCCAGAAATAGTGCAAATTGAGTCCACTTTTAGGGTTAGGGTTAGTGCTAGGGAATCATGGGAATTGTTTTTTTCCTGAGACATTGAGCCTTCTCTATCAGAGACCTCTAGTGCCACAATAAAATACAATTCCCATGATTCCCTAACCCTAACCCTAACCCTAAAAGTGGACTCAATTTGCACTATTTCTGGCAGTTTGCAACCCCCCTTGGTTAGTTAGTGCTTAAGTTGCTGTAATTCATTGAATCATATCTACTCTAGTTAGGACTAACCATTTGATTTAAGCCCATCTAGATATTTACAATGAACTTTTTGTTCTTTATACAATGGACTCTTCCCATCTGTAGTGGCTGAGGTCTGGGCCCTGAATGTATAGGAAGAAAAGTGGATGGTCACACCTTATATTATTCAGTCAACAGCAACATATGTGTGTCTGCATCACCACAGCCATATGCATGCACTGTTACTGAATAATGTAGGGTGTGGCAATCCATGGGCAGTCAAACTGTGCTTGCTAGTCCATTAATGTATTGTATATGGTTCTCCATGCACATGAAGCATACAGTGGAAAAACTAAAGAACAAATCCCTATCCCAAACAGCTAATAATCTAAATTTAGTCAGTGTAGCAAGCATGAAAGAAAGATGCCACTAGAATTCAGTTTGATTGTAGCATTAAATAGAATTCACTGACAACAACTTCAATTATCCTGGGTACTATTAATCTTCTTTAAGGTTTTCTCTTCTCATCACCACCCTGGACTTCCCCCACAGGAGAGCCAAAGCTTGTGAGAGACACCTGAGAACCCCACAGAAAGCTCTGCTCAGTCCTTTTCTAGACACAATGCATGGGTTCTGGTTATATCCTATAAAACCCTTATAGCTTAGATTTAGACTATCTGAAAGCCTTCATCTGCCCAGATAAGCCTACCCAAGTCTCAAAAATCTATGGAGGGGGCTCTCTCTAAATTCCACTATTTTCACAGACTTTTCTTGTGAGGATGAAGGAGAGACATTCTCCATGGCTGTTCATACTTCCTATTGAGAAAGACTTGTCTGACCCCTCTTTGCTTTCTTTTTGCCAATACGCAAAAGCCTTCTTACAAAACCAAGTCTTCTGTCTTTCAGTGGTTGGTATGAAACAATCAAACACTGAACACAACATAGCCTGCAGCCAAGAAAGCAGAAGAATACTATGAATAGGGAAGGCAGCTATGAAGGAACAAGACAACATCAAAGGAACAGAGATAAACAACTACTTACTAAGGTTATACTTGTACAAGCCATTGTATTTCCTCTTACCATGGATAGATGTGAGAGTTGGACAGTGAAGAAAGTGGATAAGAAGAAAATCAATGCATTTGAGATGTGGTGCTGGAGAAGAGTGCTGAGGATACCATGGACAGACAAAAAGAAAAATAAATGACTCCTTGAACAGATCAAGTCTGAATACTCCCTGGAAGCCAAGATGACTAAATTGAGGCTGTCATACTTTGGCCACATCATGAAAATGCAAGACTCATTGCAATAGACAATAATGCTAGGGAAGGATATTGGGCAGAAGAAAGAGAGGAAGAACACATGCCAGATGGATAAACTCAATCAGGGAGGCCACAGGCATGAATTTACAGGACAGGAGCAAAGAAGCAGAGGATAGAGGATCATGGAGATGTCTCATCCACAGTAGCCATGCATTAGGGTTGACTCAAGGGCACCTAACAACAAGAAATGAAAGGATGTACAGTGGATGTATTGTCTGTCTGTCTGTTTGTTTATTTTAAAATGTAATAAATGGTTTATGCATTGTCAGTTGTTTTAAACTAATACATTCGAAACAGTGTTTTGATTTTTTTAAAATTATTTTAAAACTTTTGTACATCATATCATTTTAGCTATTTTGTTTAAACCTATTGTTTTATCTTCTGTTTGTTCCATATGGGGAGAAAGGTAGTATATAAATAAAATATTATATAGACAGAGAACTAGATACATAGTATAATCCATCTATCTATATGACAAATGGATAGAAATAAAGGGTGCATGAACACGGTAGAAATAATGCAATTTGACACCACTTTAACTGTCATGGTTCCAGTCTACAGAATTCCAGAATTTGTAGTTTTGTGCAGCATCAGCATTCTTTGGCAAAGAAGGCTAAAGACCTTGTAAAATTGCAAATCCTAGGGTTCTTTAAGATGTAGCTACAGACTTAAAGTGATGTCAAACTGCATTATTTCTGCAGTGTAGATGCAGTCAGAGAGCTATATTACTTATGTAATGTATAACATTTCTAATAAATTAAATAAAGTAAAATATACCTGGATATCAACCTGGATCAAATGTTTTTCTAAAGATCTCAAACAGAGTTTGGACAAATTATGTGATAGTTGTAGGATTCTGGAAACTACACTGGGAAAAAATATCCCAAACTCAGGGGAAAGTGTACTAGCTACCCAGCAGACATATCTTGCCAGTCTTCTGAGGAACCATTTTACCTCCCTTGAAATTCCTTATATTTCCAGTTTCACCTTGACTTTTTTTTCCTCTGAGGCAACTTTCTTTGTAAACCAGGACTCTCATACTGTGGATAATTTCAGGACTCGGGGTATGAGATGCAAATGTGGTGAATTAGGCTGGTTTGGGTCTTAGCTGAACACAGCAATGGCCTTAGAAAAAAAAAACCTTGACACTTCCTTGTGGTAATAGCTGGATAATCACCTGAAGAAATTTCTTTATAGCCCAGTAGCTTTCCCATGTTAATCTTATGGTGTCTGAGGTGTTCTGTGCGATAGATGGTGGCTGAGGCAGTAATTGACTCTCCAGATGTTATCCACAAGAAGTCTAGGCCAACAGAGTCTTGCTGCAGACCTCTGAAATCCCATTTAGTAAACTAAATTTATCTCAGCTAAGAAGGAACCAGCTGTTTAATTAGGATAAAGAATTTCAGGATAAAGTAAAGCACCAGACTGGCCTGGATGGGTTTTCTTTTTCCATGCCCTCCCCCTAAAAAGTAATGCAGTATCAAATGAAAATTATTCACCTCAGACCGGATTGTTATGACTATCTGTGCCTGTCAGAAATGAAATAGAGAAAACTTCCCCCACTCAAGGAGAGTTGACCAGTATGCTTCCTTCCAACTGTGAGAAGCAATTCTAGTTAACTAATGGTACACCTCTACACAAATTTACTTGCTTTTACATGGATGTGAACGGACTTCTTGTAAAACTGAAGATTTAAATATGTCGTGGGTGGCACTGAGAGAACTCTGATCAACATGAGATCATAAAAATAATATGTTAAAAATGAATTTGGTGTG